TCATCGGTTTTTCACTCACTTCATAAACACGAATTCATTCTGGAAATTATTATTAAATCATCGGTTGAGGACATTTGGATTTACATTCACTTAAGCTTAAAGGGATTCGAAAAAGAAAAAATAGCGAAAGTCAATAGGTTAGCCATGCAATGAATTCTACCGGTCTAATGGCGGCTATTCTTTGATATTTATTGTGTTTACCAATAAAACATAATTAGAAATGACCCTGTATTTTAGCTTATTATTTTATTCTAATATAACTATATAATGGAAACGTTGCGAGTATGAAAAATTCAAGTGGTCTGAACAATGGAAAATCTGATGAAATGTTTTTTTTTTCTTGGACTCCAGGACAACACATTGTGAATCGACTCGATGTTTTTACAACATATTCAGGCCTACAGAAGTCTTCGGAAATCAACGTTGCGGAGAATGGGGTTTCAATAGCAGCTACCGGAAGGGGTACTATCCAAGTGACAACGAACCTAGGAGGTGGCGGCAACCTGGAAAATGTATTGTATTCCCCAGACGTTCCAAATAACTTGCTGTCAGTATCCCGTATTCAAGCAGCAGGCATGACTGTCATTTTCGACACTGATGGTGCAAAGGTATTATGAATCGAACAAGTCATATTCACAGGTGAGTATTCAAATGGTCTCATTGAAGTGATTTTAAAAATTACGAAACACACATCGAATCATCCTAAATTGATGAATATGAGCAGTAGAAATATTTATGAAATATGGTATGAACGTCTTGGCCATATCAGTAAAGCTAAATTCGAAAAATTGAAAAATAACCAAATTATCCAAAATATTACTCATATTGATCGTGTAAAACCAAGTAAACTGATGTGTGAATCTTGCGTACATGGAAGACAAGCAAGACTACTATTTTCAAAAGTTATACCAAAACCTAGTATTGAAAGGCCACTATTCATTATTCATACAGATGTACGTGGCCTTATAACACCACCTACAATAGATAATAATTATTTCATAGTTTTTATTGATAATTATACACACTATACAGTTACATATCTAATTACTTCCAAATCAGATGTGTTGCGCACATTTAAAGATAATGTGGCTTAAAGTAAATCGCATTTTAATTCGAAAGTAGTCAATATTTATTGTGATAAAGGTGAAGAATGTCTATCGAATGATTTCAGAGAATTTTGCATTCAAAATGGAATCACGTACCACCTTACAGTTCCATATACATCCCAGCAAAATAACGTTGCAAAGCTTATGATCGTTCCATAATAGAAAAAGGTTGAACAATGATTACTGCCAACGATATGATCAAATCATTGTGTGCTATAAGTACATTGCTGTACTTATAGCAACCCATTTAATAAACATGTCTTCCACTGAATCACTGCAACAAAAAACCGAAAATACATCATTTGAAGGTGTTTGGTTCTACTGCCTACGACCATAACAAAACTAGAAAACATAAATTTGATTGTAATTTTGCGGAAAATTAGTCAAAGGAAGATCCTCTGACTATTTCAAGAAGATTTGTTCCCAAATTACACAAGTTTGCTAAATTCACATTGAATAATTACTACTCAAGGCCACCCATCATCGAGGTAGGTTTTATCAGCCTTTGCATGTATTACATTCAAATGTATGTGAACCCGGTCAAACTTTTCATGAATATGTTCTTTTTAGGGCCTTTTTCACTTTTGCTTGTTATTCTACGTTACGTTGGCTTATGAACTACCCTACTTTATGTCAATTTGCCTTTACGTAACGCTTCGGTTCAGCTTGGTTTTACTTACCATTGAAGATAAGGGTAGAATATCTAGTTGAATATAGCCCGGGATAGTATTCATCACCTAAGCCTGAATCATTGGTTGGGAAATGAGTTCACCCAGGAGGGCAATCACTCCCCAACTTGGACATTCAGTCGAAGTGATTACGTAGCGAGTATTTTGGATGCTTCGTTCGAACGCCTAGGCCTACCCTGCTACATGGTTACTCTCAACAAGACAACGTCCTCCTACGAAGCTGTACCCAGGATGGAAAACAATAACTATCACAAGTGAGCTGTATCGTTATTCATACTGTTTTTCTGGCTGAAACTGAATCAAGTTTTTTTTTCTACCACCTATATCTTGTCCTATTATAAACTTCACTGGATATAAACTATATCGGTTACCCCTGGTTATTTGTTGGAATAACGTTGCAATAGAGAGCTAGAGATCGATTTATTTTGTGGTCCTATTTTCACACTGAAACATAACCAAAGTGTAGGTTTTTTTATCGTTGGAAATTATACAACTCCCTACAATCACTCATCATAGTGTTTGAATCTTAATCTACCCACTCCTTGAGAGATTTTCTTCGAGTACTCATCTACCTTGGATCCTCTATTGCATAATTTCGAGAAAATGAAAGTGAAGGGAAGGTAGAAAATAGTACGAATAATAAACAATAACAGATGAAGTGCTCAATGACAATATTTATAATATCATGTTGTCATCAAAGTCTTTTGATTCCAACTTATCTGAAACTTATAGTGAAATAGGATAAAAGAAAGATAGAAATCAGTGGGAGAAAGCTATAAAAGTCGAACTTGATTCACTTTCATAAAATGAAACTTGAACCAAGGTGCCTAAACCTATAAACAAAAACATTATAGATATCAAATGGGTTTTTACTATTAAAAATGATGAATTTGGCAACCCAACAAAATATAAGGCACGACTAGTAGCCAGTACTAGATTATGAAGAATCATTTGCACCTGCAGCTAGGATTACCACATTCAGATTTTTATCAGCCTTCTCAAATCAGTTCGACCTCATCATCCACCATACGGATGTGAAAACTGCTTTCCTCAATGGCAAATTGAAAGGGGATATTTATATGAAAGTTACTGAAGGAGTTATAGCCGAAAGGGATCAGGTTTGTATACTGAACAAATGGCTTAAAACAATCCTCAAGGTGTTGATTCGAACGTTTCGACCATATTTTGAAAGAAAACGGTTGCCTTCATATATTGGGTAGAGGAAATATGAATGAAAATATATATGTTGTTCTATATGTAGAAGATTTATTCATATCTACAAAAGAGAAATAGAAGTAATGAACAATTTCAAGCAATATCTGATGAATATATTTCGCATGGTAGACTTATCAAACATACAAATATTTTTAGGAATAAGAATCGAGAGTGACGATAACAAAATTAGTTTATATCAAAGTTCTCACCTGAATTCAATTTTAGTCGAATATAACCTAAATGGTTGTAAATATTGATGAACATTATGATGCACCATGTAGAAACTTAATTGGTCAACTCATATTTTCAATGCCATGCACTCGTCTAGATTTATTTTTGGCAATTAATATTTTGAGTAGATATCAAAGTAAAAATAATCATGAACTTTTGAAATGTCTGAAAACAGTATTAAGATACAATGAAAAGGTAAATTGAAATTGAATTAACATATTTTAAATACGATTATAACAGTCTGATTGTTGGGTAGATTCTGATTGGGGCAACAACGAAACTGAAAGAAAAAGTACGACAGGATACTTGTTCAAGGCATTTGGTAATTGTGCGATATCTTGGAATACTAGGAAACAAGTTACAGTTGCCGTTTCATCCACTGAAGCTGAATATGTAGCTCTTTTTGAAGCAGTAAAAGAAGCTGGTTAAAATCACTTCTAAGTAGTATCAAACCTTTTTTGAATCAATTGTTACATTTTGAAGATAATAACGGTTGCATATACTTGGACAACAACCCGACTGATCATAAAAGATCAAAGCATATTGATATCAAATATCACTTCTAGAGAGAACAGATTGGGCAAAAGACAATCAAATCTCGATTTGAAATCTCCCGAATGGAGATTTCTCACAATGATGCCTTATTTGATGAACTTCAAAAGAGAACTCAGCATTCTTCGGAAAGTATTGGGGTTTATTTAGCAGTGATGGCTAGCTATTTCAAGCGCTTGGGCTGTCCAATCACCGAGGAAGGTAAGTTGAACATTATCATTCGGAATTTACACCCTTTTTATCAGGATCGGTTGAAAGAACCCTTACCAAAAGATTTATCGGAGTTGAGAAAAGGATCTTGCCTTCGTGGAATCAGAGAATAAGGTCAGTGAAGTAGATAAAATAGACGCGACTTCCAGCCAAATGCCGAGTCCTCGGGACCAATCAAGACAGATCGTTTGCTATCGTTGTAGGACTCCAGGACACAGAGCCGTTGGGTGTACTTCACGACGTAAATTGCAATGCTTTGGTTGTGGAAAGGAGGGTTTCACCAAAAATAGTTGCCCAAGTTGCTCGAAGACGGGAAACGCTCGAGGTCATCCTTAATAGGTCGAGGTAAGAATGACCAGGAAGTTAACTCGACAACTTCGCTTGGACCAATCTTAAACTACATCTTAGATAATGCTGAGCAGGACGAACGTCCTTACCTTAAGGTGGAAGTGATGGGCTACCAGATTCTGGGCCTTTTGGATTCGGGGGCTTCGGCTACCATTCTGGGAAGTTATGGATGGGAGGCTGTAAGAAAACTAGGAATTGAATTGGATACGTCAAAGAGAGTTCGATGTACCGTTGCCAACGGACAATCATGCGAGAGTATCGGGGTTTGTCAGGTACCTTTTTATGTCCGAGGGAGAGTTAAACTCATTCATGTCCTGGTAGTGCCGAGTTTGAATCAAACTTTGATCCTTGGTACCAATTTCTGGAGAGCCATGGGAATAGTGCCCGATCTAAGGCATAACGAGTGGCACTTTTCCAAAGAAGTGTTCCATCTGAACGCTGTTGATCACCTGAGGGGTCAGACGATTTTGACTAAAATGGAGGAATTGCGATTGAAGGCATTACAAAAGATAGAGTGGCATACCTACTATCTATTGTCAAGTCTTTTCTCAACAATGATGTTATTGAAATCAACATCAATAAATCTGATACCTACGATGCTTTGTACGACAGTCTGCTGTTCATTAATGGAAAAGTTGGGAATCTGCTGGTTATGAGCAGAGTGGTAAGGAATTGGAAGCAGTTCGTGAACTTGGAATTGTTAGTACTGTTAGAGGCTTTCTCATCTACACCGACGAAGATATCAAACACTTGCCCACCTCCGGTTGGACTTTTCCCGACAATACAAGCGTCATCAATACAAGTCATCTAACATTCAACATGCTCATACCCATCAAGCATTTTTTGAATATTTCCAACGATTATCAGTGTGTTTCCTACGGTAAATATACCATTCAATTAGTACGAGCTGGAGATGATAGCAACTGTTTCAAAATAGAGAAGACTCCTCACGCACTAATGCCGAAAACGGAAGTTAAATTGAAAATTGAAAATATCGAACTGAAAGTTAAACGAATCTTTCCGCATGATCAAATTAAATTGCAACTTTTGAAAGCTATCCAAGCAGAAACTCCAATTCTCATACAGTTCAGAAAATGGGAACTTCATATGCTGCCTGCTCTCACATAGGGTGCAAAAAATGAAGTATGGGCCGTCAAAACTTCCTCGTTCCTCGAAAGCCCTCGCTATGTGATTGTCTGTTTCCAAAAAAATCGTGATCACACTAAAGTCAACAATGAACCAACAATATTCAATCATTCGATTATCACCAATATAACGCTCAGTCTAAATGGTGAGAATTACCCCAAGGAAAATATGCATTTGAATTTTGCAAAGGGGAATTTTTCGCAAGCTTATTTCAACTCCTCACAATTTGGTTTCAGATACAAAATGACTAATCAACATAATCATCTTCTCACTTCCGCCGTCTTTACGGACAAAGCTCTCTTTGTTATCGATCGTTCCAGAAGGGATGAGAGCATCAAAAGTTCCAGTGTTGATGTAAAACTTGAAATCGAAGCATCCGAGGGATTTCCTCAAAATACTAGAGCCTATTGCATTATTGATATATGTATTCCATGGGTGAATAGTACGAATCGTTAAAGAATTTGGAAGTGTATTTTAAATTTTATACGAATGAAATCTTGAGACAGTATATTTCATTTTGCGAGAATTGTTTGAATACTGGCTCGCAAAATGGTAGTCAATCGCCTGGACAAGGAAGAACTTGAGTATGAGTTAAAAATAAGAGGAGTTGGTACGGGAACTTGTGAAGAAATGAGACATCGACTTGCGATAGCGTTGAAGATGGAAAAAACTGGGGACAGTCTGTCATATCCTGCCTATCCATATTCCTTCGAACAAGATGAATCAGCAGTTGAAGACAAACTTGATGAAATCGGGTCTTTATTAGATACACTGAGTGGACCAAGAACTTCAGGTGAAGTCGTGAAATTGCACACTGAATTGGCTCATGTTCTGGGAAGAATAGATCGAATGGATCCTGACGAAGATTCTGGAAAAACGCACCAAAAAGCAGACTTAGTGGCGACCGCTCTGACATTGTTCAGTGATTTCAATGATAAATTGGATGCACTGGATACCAACCCACCTATTTCACAGGAGATGGCAAAGGATCTTCTATCTCTGCATTTTTTGAAGTTGTTGACGAATTATGTTTAGCAAGAAATGTTTCGGAAGCCGTTATTTTCGATTCTGGGGTGGATCTTTTTGCAGGTAGAGCCTACCAATTCTATAAAGACTGTCGGTCTCGAGTACATAGTTGGGAAGAGTTGGTTGGTGAGTTCAAAGCAGAATATCTGTCTGCGAATCACAGTGATGCCTTATTTGACGAACTTCAAAAGAGAACTCAGCATTCTTCGGAAAGTATTGGAGTTTATTTAGCAGTGATGGCTAGCTATTTCAAGCGCTTAGGCTGTCCAATCACCGAGGAAGCTGAGTTGAATATTATCATTCGGAATTTACATCAGGATCGATTGAGAGAACCCTTACCAAAAGATTTATCGGAATCGAAAAGGGATATGATAAATGGTTACGTGGAGCCGTCTTCTAGAAAGTCCAACATTTTGGAGAAGGATCTTGCTTTTGTGGAATCAGAGAGTAAGGTCAGTGAAGTAGATGAGATAGACGCGACTCCCAACCAAATGCCGAGTCCTCGGAACCAATCAAGACCGATCGTTTGCTATCGTTGTAGGACTCCAGGACACAGAGCCGTTGGGTGTACTTCACGTGATAAATTGCAATGCTTTGGTTGTGAAAAGGAGGATTCCACCAGAAATAGTTTCCCAAGTTGCTCGAATACGGGAAACGCTCGAGGTCATCCTTAATAGGTCGAGGTAAGAATGACCAGGAAGTTAACTCGACAACTTCGCTTGGACCAATCTTAAACTACATCTTAAATAATGCTGAGCAGGATGAACGTCCTTACTTCAAGGTGGAAGTGATGGGCTATCAGATTCTGGGACTTTTGTAAGGGAGCTTCAGCTAACATTTTGGGAAGTTATGGATGGGAGGCTGTAAGGGAGCTAGGAATTGAATTGGATACGTCGAAGAGAGTTCGATATACCGTTGCCAACGGACAATTATGCGAGAGTATCGGGGTTTGTCAAGTACCTTTTTGTGTCCGAGGGAGAGTTAAACTCATTGATGTCCTGGTAGTGCCGAGTTTGAATCAAACTTTGATCCTTGGTACCAATTTCTGGAGAGCCATGGAAATAGTGCCCGATTTAAAGCACAACGAGTGGTACTTTTCTAAAGAAGTGTCCCATCTCGCTGTTGATCATCTGAGGGGTCAGACGATTCTGATTGAGATGGAGGAATTGCGATTGAAGGCATTAGTAGAATGGAACAAATCCGCAATGGTAGACCGGTTGGGATGCACATCTGTAGCAGAACATGTGAAAGTAACAAATTCACCACTCATAAAGCAAAGGTATTATCCTGTGTCACCCGTAATACAGAAGCAGATAGACATGGAACTGGACGCGATGCTGAAGGATGATGTCATTGAGAGGTCTAATAGTGCCTGGTCCTCGCCTATCTTGCTGGTCAAAAAGAAAGATGGTAGTTACCGCTTCTGTGTCGACTACCGAAAGTTGAATGCTGTGACTGAACGGGACGGATATCCTCTGCCATACATTTCTCACACCCTGGATAAACTACGAGATGCACATTACCTGTCTTCCCTAGACATAAAATCTGCCTACTGGCAAGTGCCGGTGGCGGAGTCCTCTAGACCTTGTACCGCCTTTACTGTACCTGGACGTGGACTATTTCAATTCAAGAGGATGCCGTTTGGGCTGCACAATAGTCCAGCCACTTGGCAACGACTGATAGACCGCGTATTAGGACCGGAATTGGAACCCCACGTATTTGTCTATTTAGACGACATTGTGGTGGTGACCCAAACGTTCGAAAAACATCTTTCCGTTTTAGATGACGTTTTCTGCCGTTTACGAGAAGCTAATTTGACGGTAAGTTTCGAAAAGTGCCATTTCTGTCGTCCGGAGATGAAGTATTTAGGACATGTCGTCGACAGAAACGGACTTCACGTTGACCCGGACAAAGTGAAAGCCATGCTTCAACTACCTACACCTACAACGGTGAAGGACGTTCGGCGATTAGTGGGAACATTTTCGAGGTACCGCAGATTCATCCCTGACTTCGCTTCTCTGATGTCACCGATAACCGCTTTGATGAAGAAAGGCCGAAAATTCGTTTGGACGCCACCCTGTGAAGGATCTTTCCGAAACATGGAAGAATGCCTTATCGCAGCTCCTGTACTTAACTGTCCAGATTATAATTTACCTTTTTATTTGCATACCGATGCTTCTGGTTTTGGCATTGGAGCTGTGCTCACTCAAGGTTGTGAAGAGGGGGATAAAGTTATATGTTACCTTAGTAGATCCTTGACAAAACAAGAACGGAATTTCTCTACAACTGAGAGGGAATGTTTGGCAGTTCTTTGGGCAGTAGAGAAATTGAGGCCATATCTGGAAGGCGTGCCATTTACGGTTTACACAGACCACTATTCTCTTGTGTGGTTACAGAACCTGAAGGATCCAACTGGCAGACTCGCAAGATGGGCAGTACGTCTGCAACAGTACAATTTCAAAATCGTGCACCGCAAGGGGAAGGACAATGTTGTTCCAGACGCTTTGTCGCGCGCTGTTCCGGTAATCGAATCAGTAACGACTGCACAGGAAATCATCCAAGATGAATGGTATGTTAGGCTCAAGGAGAGGGTGATTGGTAACCCAATAAAGTTTTCTCAATGGAGAGTTTATCAGGGTAAATTATACAAATATGTGAAACCGAACATTCCTGAACTGGGTGATTCATGTGATTCATGGAAATTGGTGATCCCAAAGGAGAAGAGGCAAGATATCTTGGCGGAGGCTTATAATGTACATACTTCTGGCCATATGGGTACCTTCAAAATATATAATCGCATCGCGGAGAAGTACTATTGGCCCAAACTCCGATATGACACTTCCAGATTCGTAAGAAGCTGCACTGCTCATAAACCAGATCTCCGAGGTCCCAAAGGGCTGATGACAGCTCAACCTAGAGTAACCAGACCATGGGAAATGGTATCCACCGATCTAATGGGTCCACTCCCCCGATCCATCAAGGGCAACAAGTTCATATTAGTAGTTACGGACTATTTCAGTAAGTACTCTCTGGTGTTTCCTCTCAGAACTTCAACTGCAAATATGGTGGCAAAGAAAATAGAAGAGGAAGTATTTTTAGTATATGGTGCTCCTCGCCTTTCATTATGTGACAATGATTCACAGTACCGATCAAAGCAATTCGTAAAATTAACTGCTGAATTTAAAGTGAAGATCAGATATAACGCAAACTATCACCCGCAGGCCAACCCCACAGAGAGGGTGAATCGGAACCTAAAGTCAATGCTGGCCATATTCGTGTCAGATAACCATCGTACATGGGATGCCAGCTTGCCTAAGATAAGTTGTGCATTAAGAACCGCAAAAAACACGAATCTACCAACTATCCATCGTACTTCATTAACTTCGGACGATCTATGATCCTATGTGGAAAGGACTTCGAGAAGAAGGATCTGTTCGTGGAAGACGATATCGAAGTTGAATCATCACGACTCGAAGGATTCAAAAAAATATTTTCGGAGGTGAGACAAAGATTGGACACTGTAGCGAAACGAAGTGCAAAAACATACAATCTCAGGAGACGGCATGAACAGTTCTTGCCTAATCAACCGGTATGGCGCAAACATTTTGTTCTGTCTGATGTCGCTAAGTTTTATTCAGTAAAGCTAGCACCAAAATACGTGGGACTGTTTTACGTGAAGAAGAGAGTATCCCCTTGGACGAATGAGTTACAAGATGAAGATGGAAACTACAAAGGTATATGAAACGTGAAAGATTTGAAGTCACGAGGTTCCGCTAGCGCGGATGAAAATTTACCCCAGTAAATTTTCTTCAAGTAAGGGGGGTATTTGTAACGGGATAATTATCTACTTAAAAATATATAGTTCAAAATATTGATAATGAAATCAACTTCATGAGGAAAAAAAATATATTATTCCGTATTCATATAAAATAAACATTTTACATTCAACAATTACAACATTATTGGACATATCCCCCGGACATCATGATTTTCCGCGCCACTGGATGAATGTCAAAAATTAGGTGAGCCCATTATTTCTTTGGAATATAGCCTTTCGTTTCGTATAGCCTTTCGTTATAGGATAAATTTGAGGTTGTAAGGAAATAGGAAGCAGTTGACATAATTTGAGCTAGATTGTCCTCAGTTTTCGATGTGGATACCTGAAAGTAAATAACACTT